TACTCATCTTGTGAGGAACATTTTTACCAAAACAATTATTCACTTCGGATAACTTGAATAATGACGGTGAACAATTTGTAAGTAAATTGGAATTTAAGGAAACCGCCGAAGTGCAAGATCACATGAATTGTACATGATGTAAAAAGGAGAACCGGGAAAGAGTTTGATTTAAACCAAATCTGCGGAGTCAAATAGTTGATATTATATCTCCACCAAAATACTAGTTCAATTTGACCATTTGTGCAAACGTGGACATGATCAGTATCTATTATTTCGAAGAGATGCAAATCGGATAACCGAATGAAATCAATACTGATGTTAGGAGTAGAGGACTAAACGGGAGCGAGTGGGTGCTAGTATGGGTTGAAGGGAAAGACGTGTGTGCAAGAAGAAGCATCCTGATCACAGGATGTGTTTTGAATTCCACTATTTCGTGGCAATCTCATCAACTGTGTATATACATTCAGATCACGCTTGGTTAAAAGAGTGACAGGTTTTGGGGACAGGCGAACACGCACGGGGGGAGAGAAACGAATCAATACGAAGACCACTAATATGAACCGGATTGGGCATAGGGGGCAGGGAGTGAAGACACTGCGGGGTGGGGAACGGGAGAGTGGAGAGAAGGACAGTGACAATTACCAGGGGGCAGCGCGAGGCTAGCCACGAATTCGATCTGTTTACATTCATCGAGATTGTATCGTCGAATGGCAGCTGTTTCAGCGAACCGTGATCATGATGCTTCGTCTTGCTCTCATGAAAATGTTAAAGGGTACTGGTTGTATGAAAAGACGTGTGTGTCAATCGAATATGCCCACATAGGCACTCTTAGTGGTGGATTGCGTAGATCGCGCAGGTTGGCTACTGAATAAGCACAACAAGCGAACAGTCTTAGATTTGAGCACATGGAACACTTTACCAATATAATTTGTAGACAGAAGATAGGCGATCCAAAGGATAAATGTTGCAATTCCTATTGGTCGTTTTGATGCTCTGTGGTTTATCTCCATATTTCTAATATATTTACTAGATCTCACCTAAGAGCACTTTCTCCTAAGGTTCCCTTTTCTTTATTTTGAGCAATAAGCTCCCAACCGGAACTGAGAACAACATGCTACAAAATAATTTACTGTAAGAACTGAAGTAAACATGGAATGAAGCACACTTCAAGACAGGATGATCCATCGAAATGCTAGGGCGCCCTTTTGTATTGATAGATTTATCTTAATCGGGGATGAATTGTTTTTTTTTCAAGTTGTAAGATAGATTGCAACCAAAAGTAGTAAATCATGGTTTATGAGCATACATTTCGAACACCGACTGGTTTGTTGTGGATATTTTGTTACCAAATTTCACGGTTCCCAATGGAGCATGCTAATGATTCCCTAATGTCTGGGAAAATCTGTCGCTCAATTAACAAAATTTGTTAAAATAAATGACACCTGATACGAAATGATTTTTCGAGAGACCTTGAAAAAGAACTAAATTGAATGAGCAAATTATTCAAATGTCTGAGGATTTATTTTTCACTGATGTAAGGGTTTATAACAGCCTTGGGTTTACGGTAAGTCACCAAACAAATTGTGAATTTCCCCATTCTGAAGTTTTTTAACATACGATAGAAGATTTTTTGGTAAATCAAATATTTTGATCAAATTTAACACATGGACGTAAGGCGGCTTGCGTAAAGACATTTAGATCACATGTTTTCAGTTATATTTTGTAATGTTACGGTTCATCTCACACTAGGAAGTCTGCTCATGTCAGTCAGTTCGACACGCTTCATTAAGTGTATATCGACTTGCCTTGGGAAATGAGAGTAGGGTATGTGTGATCACGGAAAGCATAAATTACGTAACAAAAACAAACAGGGCTACCTAGTAAGCGAAAAGAAATCAACAAGAAACAGCGAATGAACTGGAAAAATGTGGGCGTGTGGGGGTGGGTGGGTGGGATGAAAGTGAAGATGAGTGAACACGTTCTTTACAGGTAGAGGATAGTACACTGTGGCATGAGGGATCGTTACGGTTTTTCTGTGTACGAAATCCGGTTAAGTATTCTGTTTGCCACTACCTCGACAATGCTCACGGTTTTGTCTGATATAGACCGATGAACAGGCCATTGTCAAGTAATTGACGCCATCTAAGACAGTGACCTGGAGATCACGAANCGAACTCCTGCCACGCCACCATCACCCATCTTCCCCTTCTCTCATGTAACATCCATTCCTGAAAATTAGCCCTGCATGAGTGTATTCCAAACAAAACAACAGACCAGCGAACAAACTCGTTTTTAGTGCTTCGTATTCACACAAATACACTACTATATACAGTACTGGTCGATTGTGATGCACTGAAATATTTTCTCTATGATCACATGGAGTTTCATCATATTTATTACTTGTTTTAATGCTTTATTTATGGACAATAATTTATATCTTGTCTACTGGGATCTAAGTAGTTTCTAGGCTGCATAATTGTCAATTAAACGTGCGTAACCTTGTTTGCCAAGAATAAATGATCTGAACATGAAAAACGCAAACTGTATCAAGTATGAAAACGCAATATATTCAAATAGGAATGAATGAAGAATTATCCCAAATTATTCCCATAAACCCTTGCCACTTCAGATGTTTGCTATGAGGCATTTTTTATCCGACATATAATCCATTATGGCAACGCTATTGAATAACCAAATGGAAATGTTTCACAGCCCGGGGAAATTACAATAAATGAGGTTTCTTAATAATAATCTATGTTTGATATCTAACTCACTGAATTCGAGAAATACCACTTCAATCAAAGTCAACCTTGAAATCAAGGCCATTTTTGTGCACAGCTTGGAATGTTCGTATTGTTGTCGCTATAATGAAGGAAGCAGTGTTCAAAACCAATAGTTCCCGTTATCTCAGTGAAGAGGACAGAAACAGAATTGCATGAGCACACAAGCTGGGATTTTCGATATCAAACCTTGCCCAATGCTTTAACGATAACAAAAGCACAATTTACAGGATAATCCATGGGAAAACCACAACCAGAACAGCTTGCGGAGGCCGTAAAGCGAGTACATCCAAACATGAGGACGACCTGATTCGTATTACTCTGAAAAAACATTGCCGAAAAACGTCGTCTATTCAACGGGAAGATCTTCCCAACCATTCATATTCTATTTTGCAAAGATGAATGAAAAAAATTAAGATGCGTCAGGTTTCAGCTGACGTAAAACTAGCATTGAACGTGCACCAAAGGCAGGCGCTTATTGATTTTGTCCGAGAATTCAAATCTCGTCGTGCGTCATTTTGGCGATCGGTTCATTTCGCCGAAGAGTCTATGGTTTGCGACGAGCCTTGGAAGGCTCACAAAAAGTCATTTTTAGTGAGAATTTCCCAAAAGGACTTATTCCACCAAATGAAAGAGTTTCTCACCCGTCGGGATTACTCATTTGGACAGGAATAAAAAAGCATGGTCAGCCTTGTCGATGGACATCAGTCAAAGGAACCATGAATAGTGGGAAATTTGTATCAGTAATTATGAAAATGTTTCCAGAATTTAATGAAAAAAATCGTCTGGAAAAGTTATCGTTTTTCAGGATAACGCTCCGTGTCATGTTTCACGAGAGGTTAGTAAATTTATTTAGTTAAGGACCCTGGTTCACTTATTATTTGCTTTTAGACTTCAGAAAAGATATCTATACGAACACACAAATTGTTTCAAAGGGACCTGTTGCTTCAGTTTCGATTAGACATGTACATATATATCTATATATCTATATCACTACTGGTAACCAAGTGAATAAGGGCTCATTCAAGGTGATCTTTGAAGCACCATCAAACCCATCTCAAGCTGTTCGTCAATGGCATCTTGTTACAGCCAAGGCGGTGACTTTTCGCCTACTCAATCCATCTCTTTGTTCTCGAAAGCGATTCGTTCAGTCACCGCGCTTACCCGGGCCTCAACCTGACACAGCCAACCGAAACAACCGTGACCACTGTCATGACCGACAGGTGCAGACCGGAACTAGAACAGCTCAATTAATCTATCAATTTTGAACATTTCCAAACCACACAACAACAAAAACTCCACCCTTTCATTTCTAAGCCAAATATCAGATCACAATCAATCAGTAATATTCATCACATCAGACCATTACAATAGTTTGACAATTTTTGATCCCCCCCCCACAGTGATGTAATATACCAACAAAGAAGTTATCGAAAACAAGCAATGTTCGCTATAGTATTTGCCTAAATTTAAAAAAATAATAAAATCACCTTAATAGTGTTGTGAGATACTACTCACTTGTGAGTAGTACGTAAAAAGATGCGACCAGCGGTTTCTTTCCACGATCAAAAATAAACAAGACTTGTTGGAGAAAACTTTTGCTGTTCGGTACGGTGAGAACAAGAACACGCATCTGTTAGTGGACGGTTACACTTGCGGAAATTCTGCATACTTGTTTCAAATGAGATATTTTGTTATATGAATGGCAGTTTAACCATATCCTTACCGTTGTTGGCTACTAACAACTATCCTTGACCAGCATCGCTTTTTGGAAGTATAACACTAGAGCGGATTTCATCGTGTGCCCGGAGATTGGATTCATCATGAACAAGTAGTTGTCTGTTCGCTCATCCGATCATCGAGATTATTGAAAATGCGGTGTGCCAGCGGGGAGGAGGCAGGGACCCTGTAGTGCCTACACAAATTGTTTTAGGGCACACAGAAAGGGGTTATACGTGTTAATTCCCACAGCTTCTGCTGTGTTTAGCATCTGATAGCGAAACTGCCTCAATCATAGTCCCCACGAACTTCACACAGGGGTCGGGAAGCTTTGGTTCACAGCGTGATTTGTTTCACCTAGATGTGAAACCACTGGTTTATTGTAAGTGACTTAGTCGTTCTGCTGGTTAGCCACACATGATCATGCAGCCTATGTATGGTGTTCTACGGGAATAAGTAGATGAGATCACAGAGTCAGGAATTTTGGCCTGGACGTGTGCAACATTCGAAGGTTTGATGAATGGAAAGTTTTATCCATTGTTTCGGATAATCCTCTTTTTATCATCTCGGCTGATATTCCTCTTGAAGAAAAGGAATTAGGGCATTATGATTGCAAACGCATTATTCGGATTGACTGTTTGACACACGTGTTGTGTTTTTGAACTACTTTGGAATGTTGAGAACACAATTCGGTGAGTAAATAATTGTTTTTGGATATTCTTCGTCAGTCTGTTACACATTATATGAGGGGAAAATGTATGTGTATGTCTATGTGGAGAAGAGTTAGTTTAATAGTTGACGTGCCTTTTCCTAACATGGATCAAGTGACACGTTATGGTGTTGACACCAGTCCAAGATAGTCGATGCAAGTGAACCAGCACAGGTTTGGCCATAGATGATCATGCTTAGTGTCTAAAGTTGGGTCGTCCTAGATAGATTGAACAGTGAGTGAGTGACAAGCAACATCTCGCGCTTTCTCCAGTTTGATTTCGTGTCAGTTATCCATCTGATGAGCGGCGATGGGGCTGGATTTGGTGCTAATCTGAGCCTGATTTATCCGTCACAAGTGTGATGTTTCCGAATGCGTTGAGAGAAGTGCTTTACGGTGCCACTTATGTCAGGAACATGCCTCATAAACACATAAGGGTGAGCTAACACGACGAAGCTCAGTTCCGGTTGTTCATCTTTTACTTGCCTTACTGATCTACTTTTTGACTGGAAAAAGGGTGGAATTTATAGCTGTACTCACTATCTGTCTTAAACTCTCGGTGCGTGAGCCCCAATACACGGGATTCTCATACGAAACGTTATCTCATGAGGACACAGACGAATTGTTTGTTCCTTTCTCGCAATTAGCAGAATATGCTTATCAATAAACTTTTCTATACAACCGTTGTCCTGTTGTGTTTACGGATAAATCGTAATTCATTAATCGGTGAGTTTACTCTACAAATCTTCCAGGTTCCGGCAAGCCAGAGACCACATTAGACTACATTTGTATTTTTCAGGGACAAAGCTATACAGTTGGGCATATGGACCATTCTGTGTAGCAAACAGATCTGGATTGGCAAGAAAAGACAATTCAATCACGAAGACCTTTAGATTGGTCACTAACATTCGTTTACTGAACCCAAACCTGGATGGAATAAAAGGACTGGTTTTACTCACTGCATCTGCCTTGGATCAGTGTGTAGATCGAGCAAACAAATGACATGTCAGTTGATACATCAAGCATATCAAATAACAATCTAATTCATTTTCTATCCACATACCGGACCACTATCTTCTGTCTCGATAAACTACCCTAATCCAGGATAATGTCATTGGTTGATCATTTTTACCCATTAGATAATCTACAAGAGCACATAGCTGGGAATACCCGAAAAAGATTGTTTTCTCAACGATTCCAAATCGCAGTGGTTACAAATTTTGTAACGTTCTTCGGATTCGTGTACCCAATTAACTCGAGGTTCTGCCTATATACCTGACAACCCCGGATACAGGTGAATGATATTCGAGTTGACCAGGTGTGATACGAGGTTCTTCCTTGTTGCTAGCTGGACACAGTCATTCAATTAAGGTAAAACCACATTAGTTGAATCAAACTTTTCTCCTGGTAGCAGAGGGTTGACGTAACGCAGTGGTAGACGAATTAAGCCGGTGTTCTGATCCAAAATGCATTTTCGAAACAATTCGTGGAATTTGAGGTTTCATCTGGATGACCTCAGAATGAATTCATATGCTGTGTATACTTTTACGTGGTTAAAAGCAATCAAGTGTATTGTGTGGTATAAGACATTTTGACTGGATTCTGTGAGTATAAAGAATGAAACGATTCAGCCTTTGGTACGACAGAGGGGATAGTCTTCATATTAGGCACCTAAAGGATATACGAAAGCGCTGTTCTCTGCATTTTTTCACGCACGATGTAAAAGCTAACCATTCTGGAATCGTTTACTGCCAAAGATGTGTATTCCCAGTTCGAGGTTTGCTCAAGATGTTTCAAATGGATGTCATTATCGTTTCACGATGACGTAATTATGCTTTTCGGAGTCTGTTCCAGATTTTGTGTCTTTTTCTTTATCAGTGACGCAATGTCACTCAAGTTGCCACTGAGCGGATGATACTCGGAAACAAGCAAATAAATCAACATCTGTGGGCTTTGAATATCGATCTCTACGCCAAGGAAAGTATTTTGTATCCTAACTGGTGATTTTTCATCACAGTTTACAAATTTCCCATACTCATGCTACTACAGTTTATATGACGGGAAAAACCTAGGGATTGGGAGGAGAACAATAAAATTTAGAGAACCGTTTACTTGGTGTATGTGTGCGTGTTTGTGTGTGTGTGTTGCACACCGCATTCTCCGACCTGTGCTCTCGGGATTTCAGTTACATCACATTGGTCGTGTGACCCATTTCTGAAGAATCGGTTTTGTGTGAAAATGTGTGTGAGCAGGAGGGAGGGATAGGTTGTGAATCCAGGGAAGACGAAGAGCTTGGATAAGACGCTTCTGGGCGCATAGTTCAGGGCTCAACTGTTAAACACAGATGGCTTGGGCTATGGCCAACGTACGCATCGATAACTGGTTCTTTTCGTGTTCTAGGCTTTCAGCCAACCATTAAGCGACAGCGCGGTATGGAGAATTTGTCATCGATAGGATGGGATGAAGGGGAACCTGAGCTTTGTGGATTTCTGGCAAACGATACACCCTCAGAATGCATGAACCGGTCGGTCTTATGCGTTCATGTAGTTCACTGCTTGTGTAATCCTCCTAATTGAGTCGTTTCAGTATCCCCGTGATTTGTTGTTCAGTCTGGTGTGTTTGGTCTTTTATGTTGGTATGATTATGAACTTGTCATCTTCCGCGTCGATAGGTAACAGTTTGTTAGTATATTCCTTCTTGTTCACTACCGAAATCTCATCTCTGCGTCATAAATAGTAAGCGATAACGAGAGTTGATTTGACCAATATGACAACTGAAAACCGCGGAAGCACAGATTTGAGAATGCGGTGTACAACACACACGCACAGGCATACACAAATGGAACGATTCCTTATATTTAATTGTTCTCCTTCTAACCCCTAAGTTATTCCCTCATGTATACTTTAACGGTATGGTTATCAGTTATTGAAAACAATTGTTCGTCTAAAATTGTGTCCTAAATGGTGATATTTCCAAATTACAAGTTTACGTTAATAACAAAATATTGAGAGGGATTATTAGATCAAGTTCAAAGTAAAGCTTGATCTGTATTTATAGTATTTGTAGTTGCGAGTGCTGTTTTAAATACTGTGTTCAATGATGATACTGTTATGATAAGTGACTATTCGGATGCTGTAAGATTCTGAATTAGGGGTTGCTATGTAAGTCGGATAATACAGCCTGAAGATTTTCAGTGTGCAAACATCGAGTGGCGTTGTGCAATAAAAGATCACTAAACCGGTCACATGCACCAAATGGTTTGTTGTTGATGAAGTCATCAAGGTCACCACGAGACAAAGCACCGGATCTGAATAAGAGAATATCACGAACCTGACAGTAAATTACCAACCAGTCTGTCAAATATCCAATATGATAGATAAGCAACAAAGATAATGAGGGTAACATAGACGGTAAATAATTTCGGTAGTAAGCAATGAGAACCAATTTTTGTAAATTTGTGTTAGATAACACTTGGCGCACAGAACTAAAATATATTGCCACCATACATCTATCGAAAAGATTTCAGTGTAACTAGATAGATCTGTATCTTACGTGGAGAAAGACCTAACAAGCGTATATTTTTAGACTGTTTTAGTTTAATGGAAAACCATTTCACTTTTTTTCGAGCTTGGATCATATGCAAGTTAATAAGCGCACAGTTTAGATAGCAAAACTCTAATTTTATCCCTGATTATTCAAAGTTTGCTTGGCGTTAACCTACCGGTACCATATACGCACTGGGCGTAATCATGCGCTTTCCCGTTCCCTCTGAGGTAGCATAGTCTGGAAATGACCTCGGTTCTTCCATCGGCGTTGGAGACGGTCCACTTTTCGGGGAAATTGAGGAAGGAAATATGGCTCGTCCACCAGCAGGAATGGACTTCATGCGGTTCAGAGTCACTCCACGCTGTTCTAGGTGTTGTGCCAGTTGGGATACCGAGGTTTGTGATCGTGGTCGAATAGAGGTGATGATTGATGGTGTGCGTGAGAGCGGGATGTGACTGGTATCGGGCTTTTCTGAATGTGTTTGATCTTCCGGTTCGTTCGGTGCGGATGCCGTGTTCGATGTGAACATTGGCGATAATGACTGATACTACAATGAGAGTGCGCGAGATTGTTTTGATTTTGAAAATGTTTTATCTATCCACACCATTCATAAAACGTTCATATTGAATTGGTTAAATCAAGTTTACATTATTTTTCCTGCTCTATAGCAGTTCATCCTCAACATTTATCTTTGACCAGTCAAAACTGATGGCAATTACACGCTACATCTTACCAGGTTGCATAAGGGTGCTGGTGTATCGTGGTTATTTCAACTTATGCAACTGATAGACTTTGTGCTTTAGATTACCGTTCGCATATTCCCCACGCTATGCTCCCAAAAACAATTCTTAGGAACACTTGGTCCTCCATGACCAGCGCTACATAGACCCGGTGGTAGTGTCACCAAACTATCACCCCGGTGGACGAGTGTTCGAATCCCACCGCCATCGCTTGACTTTTCCCATTTGTATGTTGTATGGCAGTCCTTTGATTGGCCGCTTCCCCCTTTTTGAAGATTGTGTTTGTCTATTCAATAACAGGAAGTAAAAATAAGAAAAGAAATGAAAAAGACAGACCCACTCCCAATGTGTGAGGATCAAAGTGTGAGCAACATCCGGGCGTGAAACTGGAATATTGATTATTTCTTTTCCAACTTGTCATGACTCAATCCACATTCTAAACAGTTTGATATAAATTGTGATATGTTAGCCTGCAGATGAATCAGCGCAAACGAATTTGTTCACTACTCTGTGTTTTCCCACAATCTAACGAATTGTAGAGAGTTAATTTTCTTCTAATTGCTTTATCGCCCCTGAAACTGAGTCTCTGTTCTGTAGTTCACTTTGATTTCCTGCCAATAAGCAAATGATTTACACAACTTTATGGCAATCCGATTGAGCTTCCAGCATAGCTTAAGCCATATTCAGTTAGCTGTTTTACTCATTAGAGAAGGAGACAGTGTGTTCTATTGATTGTCACTTAACAATGGTCTGTCCAACAGCTATTTCTGAGACGACAAACGGTGTCATTTGACTAACTTCTTCCTTTTTCTATCAGACCATTTTGCGGAAGGCGTAAAATCATCTCTTTTGTGCTGTATCGATCTGTAACGATGCAAAGATACAGCTAGGCATTCCTGGTGTTGACAATGTTGGCAATAAGAACTGTCAGGTGCTAACATTCACAAGTGCTATGGGTTACACGATTCAATCTGATTGTGGTAGATGCCAACAGAGAATGACGTTTTATGCATTCCAGATTGGAGGGGTTCCAGGGAAGAGACAACATTTGCTTCCGCAACTTTGTGGTGTGGTAGTGAATATGCTCAAACCGATTTTATACACGGACGATGTGAGCTGTTGTCTTAATGGTTCAATGCTAGCGAATCACTCACATGTGAAAAAACATAGAATACACACTTACTACACCGGGACCAGTTGATGACAGGTTTTGACAATAGCAAAAGCGCAGAACATTAGGAGTGATCAATTAGTTAAATCTTAGCGAATAATAAAGATATAGATGTACAAATACATTGAACGTGTGTAAAATACAAGTCAGAAACGTGACATGAAAGTAATAAATAACTTTTTCCTTTGTTATTTTGGCTGACTCATTAAAGGGAGATAATGAAGATAGAAATCTGCTGAGAGATACCATTACGATGCAAGTTAAAATGAAAAATGTGACTCGCTTCTGTTTGAAGAAAGATTAGAATTTTGGGTGGATTATAATCCACAAAACCAAGTGTTTGTGACTTGGGCAACCATAGTTTTGCTGACTATTTTACCTAGTCTGTTGACAAGGTATAGATTAAAGCAATTTCGGAGGGCAAACCATGTTGGTGTGCTATTGATTAGTTCTACGAGCTGAAAGTTTTGTTCGTAGACGTTTCGTAGCCAAGCTAGGCAGTATTATGAGTGCGAATTCACACCAACACCAACATCCGCATCCTGAGCTCTACAGGCCACATCATTTTCAAACGCGATGCATACTTTCGTTCACACTCGATCGTACGGAAAATGAAGAAAGTGTAAACTGTAATTTAAATCGGATTGTAAAAACGTTTCGTACTGGCAGTGCAAATCCTTCGACCTAACTGAGAACCAAAGCCGGGACCTGACGTGTAGAACCCAAGCACATCACCGACTTGACCGTCACATAGTACAACACCCATGTTTGCAAACTTGTTTTCAGTCTTTCACCTCACTGACCTTAGAGTGGGCCTCTGAGGTTATAACTCGACTGAAAACGTACCAAAATTGATTAAGTCAGTTCGTGTCTTGCCTAGCCTCCACAATAATTATATCAGCATATAATCTAATTAAAATTCGTCCCTACTCCAATGGAATGCTCTCATTGTTGGCTCTCTAGAACAAAGCACTTAATTGATCGGCAATTTTGTTCCTTTAATTCAACATTCACCCTGGGTTGCTGTCATTTTGTAATCCTTCAGTGATGACTGGTACAACTATAAAAACTTACTGTAGCGAGCAAGTACAGGAGGAATTAAACAAATTGTCTTTTTGTAGGGTTCGAAATGTTTCGTGTGAAGATGAAATCTACTAAAAGAGAGACAGACTCTAGTCTAGTATCTCCTCAATATATGCTTGACTGGATAGACTGAGAATTGTACATGAATATGGAGTCTGAAGGACGGTGAATTCAAATAAGTAACAACTATCCCTCACCACTACTCACAAGTAACTATGAGTGAAATGAGAAAGGAAAAAGGCCGCTCAGCCAAATTCCATATGAGTTGTAAGGCAAACTATTACCTTTTTCCTCATAATTCAGTTCGTAAGTAAAAATATACGATTTGTTTTTTCTGTCTTAAAGAGTTTTGGCTGGTGTGAAACCCGGGTTTCATTTCGCCCAGTTATGACGTGTACTTAACACGAATTGCTTCACCCATACTCACATCAACCATCGTCTCTCAGCATTCTTTTAATATGATGTTAGATGCGGAAACTCAACCAGTATGGACCATCTGCCATCTGATTTGCGTTCTACCTGTTGGGTCCCCGGTTTGATCTTTAGTTGGGTCGATGGACTCGCACTGCTGATGAGATCGAAACGGACCGGAACAGCTGCCCAGTTCTCCCCAGCTTTTCAGCTCACGCCTCATTCACATGACGAATTCATCATCTGAAGCGAGGATTGCCGAAGCTAGGGTACATAGAAACATGACTACTGACGGTATCATAAGTGCACAATCCTGATGTCCAATTAGGGATAAATGCTTATTTGAAACAGCGACATGAGTAGGAGGTAAATCCGGGTACACAAAAGGAAGCACCCAATCTAAAAGAGAGAAATCACGGTTTCATGAAAAATCGAAGATCGGTGATCAAACAATCTGATGGTATGGTTGCGTCATCTGTCGCTGAAATATTCAAATACACTAATTCCCTCCGGGATTTCTGATTCATTTTTGAATATTGTGAGATTCCGCAAAAGGATTTCCTCTTACTCGTTACAAGGTACTACTCAATAATGTGAGTATTATCTCACCACAACGGTAATGCTTCTTATTGGGGAACTTTATTTTACAGCTTCTTTTAATAAGCATAATAATTAAGAACACAATACAAAAGCTCTGTTCGTGACTACTACGTTTTTTCCGAGTGTTATTGAAGCACGACGCGTACATCATCACTTATCGTCAGACGGTCCGTCAACTACCACAGCAATCCCTTTCAGTCCATTCCATGTACTTTTAACTTTATTATTATAATTCGTACATGTAATATCACTTCTATTACAGATTTGATGAGCTCTTGTTAAGATAATTTCTAGTTTTCTATTATTTTTATGGTACCCCGTTTATTCAGAGATATTTTTTACTCTACGCATTTCTTATGCAGCGATCAAAGTGCAATCAAGAGGGTCTCCCCATGTCATCCCACATGAAGTTACCGGCATTCGGCATGAAATCCCGGTTATGATTCGCCCAAACCAAAGCTCACTTCTGTGCACATCGTATCGGCTCCCAAACGATTGTGTACTCCCACATAGTCACTTTCCTACTGATAGACACAACGTAGCGGGTATTGTAGTTCATAATCACCATACCGGAGAATGATCTGTATACCAAACTAAAAGAAGCTTTGCTCATCCGCACAGCTGTGGCGGTCGAGCTGCTGGGTGACCTCAATCGTAGGCCGTACCCCGCCCCAGTTGTTGCATCACATGAGACAACCCCTTGGTAGCAGATTACTAGATGAAACAATCCTCTGACAGCTTTGGTTAAAGCGTCTCCAGCCAC